TCAGTAAAAAGGCCAGAGTTACACACTCAAGTGAGGAATGTATTTCTCCAAAATCCAAATAGGCCCAACAGACCTTGTGTCTGTTTTTCAGCATTAGGAAGGGCCAGATACCATAAATTACCTTCCATCTTAGAAGGTATATGTCCCTTAGAGGGTCATGTCCCACACTAGTAGTCCACTAGAAACTTGACAGAGCCAGAAGGCCCTTGAATTTGAGCATTGTTTATTCGCTAATTGGTGATGCACAATATTCTTACCAGTAAGTCCAGAGTCGGTATTACCACCCACTCAACCTGCCCATTCAGCATAATGTCACCAACATTGTGTAGTGGGCTGGTGTGGGATCTTGTGGAAGAGAGAGAGGCAATCAAGATCCTTGCAAACTCTATTACAACATAAGGCTGGTGAGTAATACACCCCGGAGGTAGAGTAGTGAAGGTATACTGTTGGCCTTGCCAGCTAGGAGGAGACTGCTTCTGGTAGGCATTAAGGACAGCAACGGAAAAAAGATATTTTCCAGATCAATCATTATACTAGGTAACAGGAGATGTGCTACTCTGTTCTATTAAGGAAACTAGATCTGGTATAGCAGCCACAGTTGGGGTCAATACTTAGTTAAGCTTGTGACAATCCACTGTCATTCTCCACAATCCATCTTTTATACTCAGGTCATACATGAGAGTTGAATGAGGACTTATGAGAAATCACCACCCCTGCATCTTTCAAATTCTTGGTGATGGTACAGATCTGTGCAGTCCCTTCAGAGATGCAACCCTGGTCTTTATTTACAATTTTCCCAGGTAGAGCCAGCTCTAACAGCTTCCATTTTGTCTTTCGCACCTTGATATCCCTCATTCTGCAGGTTAGGGAACTAGTGTGTTAAGCATATTTGCCAACTGCTAAGTATATTTATTTGAATTATGCATTCTGGAACTGGGGAAATGACCATAGGATGTTTTCAAGAAGATACCATGAACCAGACCTGGGCAAAATCTCCACTGATCGCCTGACCTCTGTAAACCCCTACTCTGCCTAAAGGGATACAGTGACATTTAAGGTCACCTGAAATTAATTTCACTGCAGAGCTAGTATCTGATAGTCCCCCCAAAGAGTGATTATTTCCTTTACTGTGATGCACACTTACCCTGGGAAAAAGCTGTGGGTGGCTTTGGGAAAGGATGGGAGAAAGATTATAAATTTTGGTAGTGTATCATGATCTTTCTTCAAAGGGACTTGACCTCCTTTTTATTTAAGGGATTCTGGCCCTGTAAATTGTCTGAAGTCTGGGAATTGAGGAGCCGTAATTGTCTGATTTTATGCTTCAAGTTAGACTTTTGTTCACTGGCCTGAAGGTTGGCTGGCTGATTGGCTGGCTCTTTCTTTTCTCTCTCTCTCTCTTTCTCTCTCCTTCCTTCCTTCCTTCCTTCCTCTTTCTCTCTCTCTCTCTTTCTCTTTCTTTCTTTCTTTTCTCTCTCTCTCTTTCTTTCTTTCTTTTCTTTTCTTTTCTTTGGATCAAAACTCAGGACTTTGAGCTTGTGAGGCAGGCGTGGTGCCACTGAGCTAAATCCCCAGCTCAGGTGTTCTAATTATATAGATCAAGTAAGAACTTATAAGTCTCCCATCTATTTCACTTCTGGGAACACCATGATTCATTAGCAAACTCCATGACTACAGGAATTAGATGATTCTGATTGCTTCTGCTGTCCATCATGGTAATTATACTCACTTTTCCTTTGACAATTAAGTGCTGCCACTCGACCCCCTGCCATACTGGGTTTCAATCCTAATTGTAGCATTTAGGTTTTCCAATTTAGTGACCGTGGCGCCCCACTGTAAGGTCTGGGATACAGATGAGAGCAATCACAGAGCTCTTCGAGTTGGTATACTCCTCACAAGTCTATTTCATAAAGTATTGGTAAAAGAAATATCTTCTGGACCCTCACAGTGTAGGTGTGCAGGTTTTACATGGTAAATACATTCCAGCATTCCAGTCTCCCTAAGTCTAAGTCTTTGAATCTCTTCATTAGCATTAAACTAAGATTTCAGAAATCTTTGGGTCTTTCACAGTGGGTCATCTTGTAATTCATATTTCAGCCACCCAAACTATTACCTTTTCAATGTCCCCAGCCTCATTAGAGTCCTTCCACATGTCCCTACCCCAATTTATAGGATCCTGTACAGTAGACCCTTGACTTACAAACTCAGTGCATTCCCAAGAGCTAGTTGAAACTTAAGTTGGTCAATTGAAGGCTCAGTCTTCTCTACACAGTCTTCAAAGTCTCTCTCCGGTATACAGAGAGACCTCAGTGTCCTTAGAGAGACATTGGCCCAGGATTTCTCAATTAACCCCATATGGGAAAGGATCTTGTAATGTTCCTTCCAGAACTCTATAAGGGTTAAATCTGTATCTAAGACCATCTGAAAGTACAAGTGGCCAGCATTCAGGTCATAACTCCAGACTTTGTTCATAAATGCAAACTAAAATTCTGGTCATAACACAAGTTGCTCATATGTCAGGCCAGTCGTAACTCAAAGGTCCACTGTATTTTCCCACTCAGTGCTCTCATTTGAACTGTAGATACTTTCAAGGCTACAGTTTAAACGTGTGTTGTAATTTAGCCCACCACATGATGAGGGTTTGTGTTTGATTTTTGGAAACTTCACCCTACTAGGAGAGCTTTTCCTCCAGGGCACACTTAGAAGTTTTTAGTTTTTTATGCACACATGGAACTGGAAATTTGCCTCCCTGAGCTCACCCTTTTATTATTTTGTTCAGTGACACCACTGGGAACAACCAAGCCATGTCATTATATTGCCTGGTTTTCCAAAACTGTTCAAAAGATCATGTATAGAGTTTTGAAACTTTGCCTTTTATAGTTGGTACCACTGTGTGTGTGTGTGTGTGTAAACTTGTAAGAGGGGATTTATTAGATTGGCTTGCATGACTAGAGGCTGAATCATCCCACAATGGCTGTCAGCAGGCTGAAGAGCCAGGGAAACCTGTTGCAGTTCAGTCCAAGAAGCCAGAGGCCGAATAAAGCAGCCCTGGTTTGAGTGGAAGGCCTGAAAGCACCTGGAAAGCTGCTAGTGAAGCCTGTGTCCATGGCTGAAGAACATGGAGTCTGATGTCAGCCGAAAAAAAACACCCACTTGAGAAAGGTCGAGTGTGAGCAAGAGCTAGCACCCCCTTCTTCTACTTCTTCATTCCACCCAGGCCCCCCGCCTATTGGATATTGCTCCCTCCCCACATTCAGGTCAGGGCTTCCACATTGAGTTTGCCAGCCCACATGCTAATCCCTGGAATATCCCCACAGACAGACCCAGAGTGATGCCTTACCGTTCCCTAGGCAACCCTTAAGCCAGTCAAGTTGACAGCAGAACTCAGCTATCCCATGGGCTCTGGTTCTGTTCTTCTGCGTACGGCTACCCAGTTTTCGCAGCACCATTGGCTGAAGATACCCACTGTCCTTTCCTCAGTGTGGGTTCTCGGCATGTTGTCAAAGATCAGTTGGCTCTAGATGGGTGGGTTTGCGTCTAGACTCTATCCTGTTTCTTCTTTGTGTCTGTATTTACTACAGTACCACGCTATTTTGATTGTTATCACTGTGCAGTATGTTTTGGAATCACATATTGTGATACCTTCAGCATTATTCTATTTGTTTTTTGGTTTTTTTATTACTTTTTTTTTTTTTTTGGTACCAGGGATTGAACTCACAACCTTGTGCTTTTGAGGCTGGTGCGCTGCCACTGAGCTAAGGCCCTGGCCCTATCATTATTCTATTTGTTCAACATTGGTCTGGCTATTTGGGGTGTTTGTACTTCCATGTGAAATTTTAGATTATTTTTTCTAGTTTTGTGAAAAATGTTAATGGTGTTTTGATGGAGAGTGCTTTCAGTCTGTAAATTACTTTCAGTAGAATACTGTGAGTGTGTGTTTATGACACACACAGGCTCCTAGACAGACATACAGACACAGGGTCTTGCTATGTTGCCCAAGCAGGTCTCGAACTTCTGGGCTCCAGTGATCCTCATGCCTCAGCCTCCTGAGTGGCTGAGACTACAGGCATGTACCACCATGCATAGCTTAGAATGGATATTTTTACAATATCGTAATCCATGAACATAAGTCTTCCCTGTGTTTGTGTGTGTGTGTGTTCAATTTTTCTCATCAGTATTTTGTAATTTTAATTGTAGAGATTTTTACTGCTTTGGTTAAATTTATCCACATGTATGGATGTGTGTATACATTCTTGCTATTGTGAATGGGATTACTTTAATGGTTTTTATGTGTTGCTGGGGATCAAACCCAGAGCTTTGTGCATGTTGAAGACATGTTCTACCATTAAGCTATATCTCCAGCCCACTTTTATAATTTCTTTCTCAGCAGGTTTTTTATTGGTGTATAAAAATGCTACTGACTTTTGCATGTTTATTTGGTATCCTGAAAGATTACTGAATTTGTTCATCATTTCTAAAAGCCTTTTGTGGAGTCTTTAGACTTTCATATGTGCAGAATCATGTCATCTGGACTTCCTTCCTATTCATAATACCTTTTATTTCTTGTCCAATTGGTCAGGCTAAAGTTTCCAGTACTACATTAATGTAGTAAGAGTGGATATCTTTGTTGTTCTTGATCTTAGAGGAAATGTTTTCAGCTTTCCCCCATTCAGTATGATGTTGGCTGTGAATTTGCAATATACATCCTTTCTTATGTCCAGGCAAAATCTCTCCACACCTTATGTGTTCAGAAATTTCTGTCATGTTTATCTTTTATTCTGCTCATGTGCTGTTTTATATTTATTGACTTACATTTATTAAATCATTCTTGTATGCCTGGTATTAAATCCAACTTGATTATGATGAATGATCTTTTTGATGTGCTATTGGATTCAATTTACTAGTCGAGAATTTTTGCATCTATGTTCATCAGTAATATTGGTCTGTAGTTTTCTTTGTTACTGTATCTTTGTCTAGTTTGGGTATCAGAGTAATGCGTGTGCATGACTGTGATCTCCGCTACTCAGGAAGGTGAAGCAAGAGGTTCATGGGGAGCCAGGGCAGGGCGGGTAGCGGGGGGAGGCGGGAAGAGTAACGCAAGCAGCCGCGAAGCCATTTGCTGGTGCTGAGCGTGGGTGCAGGCGGTTCTCAGTAGAGCCGGGTCGCGAGACCGTGCCGCGCACGCTACTCGGCCTCCAGCGCAAGCTTAGTCCCACGCGCTTCTTCTTAGCCCCCGTCGCGCCCCTCGAAGGAGTCGCGGACGCCGGAGCCACCCGGGAAGAAGTCAGAGAAGCCGCGCGGCCGTCGTAACCTCCATGCCCAAGAGGGGATCGAACTCAGGTCCTTGCACTTGCGAGGCAGGCGGTGGAACCACTGAGCTAAATCCCCGGCCCTTAAGCTAAAGGAGGTGAAAATAGAAGTAGAGGTAAGAATGAGAATGAATCTGAAAAAAGAGAACTGGTGTTCAAAGAGGATGGGCAAGAATATGCCCAGGTAATCAAGATGTTGGGAAATGGACGGTTAGAAGCGATGTGTTTTGATGGTGTGAAGAGATTATGTCACGTCAGAGGGAAATTGAGAAAAAAGGTTTGGATAAATACCTCAGACATCATATTGGTTGGTCTCCGAGACTACCAGGATGACAAAGCTGATGTGATTCTAAAATACAATGCAGATGAAGCAAGAAGTCTAAAAGCATATGGCGAGCTTCCTGAGCATGCTAAGATCAATGAAACTGATACATTTGGTCCTGGAGATGATGATGAAATTCAGTTTGATGACATCGGGGATGATGATGAAGACACTGATGATACCTAAATTGAACCCAAGATTCTACATTCCAGTTTTTCGGAAGATTGTCCTACAGTGTGGATTTTGGCCATAACCCTCCAAGAAAAAGTTTTCATTAGCATGATTGTAATTCATTAAGGCAGTTTGATTTGGTTCTAAGGTATTTGTTTCTGTAAAAACTGTTAATGCTGCATTATCTGAAGTGAAATGTTAAGCCCACTTCATTCTTGTGATGTAATGGAGCTCACGGGTAGAAGACCACATGTATTTCAAAAATAGTGCATTACTGCCTTTCCTGCTCTGACCACTCCCAGTTAAGTAAATGGGCGTTTTGAATAAGCCATTTGCTTTGTATTCATTACAGATTGTGATTAATTCCTAACTTCCAACTAGCCTGTTGACTATACAGAATCTCTCTCTATTCTGGTTACCTAGATGTTCCCTAAAGATTTTGATACAATTTAAAGGAGGCCTAAATCTGCTTTTGAATTAAAAAACAGTAGGTTTGTTTTCCATATATTAGTAGCATGTGGCTATTTTTATACTAATTTTTATATCACTACATTGTTTTCATGATTTTACTTTGCCATCATAAACATACGGGCTGGGGGAAGCATTTCCCAAAAGTAGTTTTTAGAACCTGGGTTTTAATACCAGTTTTGAATTTATAAATTTAGTTGCAGAAATTAAACACTAGGTGGCACCCACTTACCTTAACAGTGGAGATACTGGTATCCTCCTTGAGGTGTTTTTTTTAACTACTGTGCATAGAAAATTTCCCAAACAAGAAAAGACTGTTTTGATCATATCTATGTAGGCTATTTTTACAAAACAAAAAGACTGTTTAAAAATGTTATTTTCAGGGCCGGGGATTTAGCTCAGTGGTGCCGCTGCCTACCTCGCAAGCGCAAGCTCCTGAGTTTGATCCCCAGGACCCCCCCCCCCCCAATGTTATTTTCAGAAGTCATCATGTAGTTGTAATAGTGAATGTTTCATAAACATTTAATAAGGGCTGGGTGTGTAGCTCAGTGAAAAGTCCCTGGGTTCAATCCTCAGCACGGTGCTGGGAGAAAAAAAAAAGATGGTCTTCAATTTCTGAATAGAAGAGAGAGCTACTGTGTGAAATACGCTAAAATGTCATGCTGCAGAATATATTATATCCTCACTTTCTAATAAGGTTTTATGATATGGGCAATTTGGTATATGTGCTGCCAAAGTGAGCTCGATATGGGCAATTTGGATTGGTGGGGTTTTTTGTTTCTGTTTTTGCTTGTATTGGGAATTTAGGTTTACCTTTCCTTTTAGTTTATCAGTTTTTCTAATTAAATGAAGTTAGGGCTGAGCTAGTCAAGCTTCACTAGCTACATTAAAATATGCCTTTTTAAAGCAGATGCATATGTAGCTTGTGGAACTTTTACTATGTTGGTCTCCAGAGAACTTTTCAGTGATGGAAAGTAATACACAAAGGAATGAACAAGATCTTTTAAAATCTCACTTTTAACTAATTTTCTTTCTTAGGTATGCAAACTCTGAATTCAAACTATGAGGTACTATAAACATTACTGCAGTGCATTGTTGTGGTTCCTGTTTCTTATCCTGTGGAATTTCTGTGCACTTACCTAGGTGCATGCATCTAAGACCAAGGGCTGGTTTTTAATAACTCAGAAGAAACCATCCTTGAAGAATTTACTTGGCAATTGTCTTCCTCAGTAACCTAAACCTAGGGTATTTATGCTTGTAT